TGGGGAGTACTGTTGGGGACAGTGTGCATGCAATGGGGGAGTACTGTTGGGGACAGTTGGATAATGTGCATGCAATGGGGGGGGGGGTTGCTATCCAACTCAGAAAAATGAGAAATAAAAAAGGATTAAACTAAGAGGTTTTAGGTTTTTTATAATGTATTATGCAAGAATCGCTAAAAGTTTAATCAATAGAGGTCGGGAATTTGGAAGATATTCATTACAAACAGACACACGGCTGCTTTATAGTATAGATGTTGGTATTCTAGAGTTAAAGTGAAATGTCTAGGTTTCTATAAAGAACTGTGAGTACTTAAAGATTTCTGTTATTCTTATTTCTAGTGTCACCGCAGGTTGCGCATCAAGACAAGTGTGACAAGTGTCATGTATGTTTGAAAGGAGTTGTTCGTGATGAACTCAAGTGTCAAGGTTAGCAACTTTAGAAATGGAAGCTTTTATGATATATGCTTGGATTAACAGCATGCTGGACTTAGACTTAATTTGTGGCCTTCCTGAAATGAGATGTAAATTTCATTTAACGACTGACCTAATATGTATATGTTTTAGTAAAAGTATTATTCATTGAATTATAGACTGTGCTAGTTGTGTGTGTGTGTGTTGAACTTTATTTATATGGTTTCAGAGTGTGGGTGCCATAAAATATGTATTGCTACTGGATTGCCACCTTGTCAGACATCTAAAAGCCAGAAGAGTCACTTACCCTTTCGGCCTCGTTAGTATCTCATTGTTTACTATACTTTTGTTTTTCTATTCAAGAGCTGAAGACTTTAACAGTGGATATAGTAACTTTGTAATTACTAACTTAACAATATCAAAGATGTTTTGTGAATGTGCTAGACCAGTAAGAAACTCTTTGTTATTGTAAACGTATGCCATTTTGTGTGGCTATTTTTGGTTTGTGAGCTAATTAGGTTATCAGTCAACGCTCTTCTCACTACTCACAGTGCATTAACATATATGAAGTTATACTTGTGACAAGTGATCTAGAAACAGTGACATTGTACAATTGTGATATCAGTGGACATCTCTGATACCTTTTTCTCAATACGATGTTATTCCTGTGATAGCTCATTATCCAGATTTGAAAAGGTATACATTATGCACTTGTTGTGGGGTTGTATTATGCATATTTCTGAGCATCTGTTTTAAGTAGCGAGCTTGAAGATTAGATACCAGTCAACGTGTAATGTATTTGATGAGAATTGTATAAAAACATTTATCTTAGTCTGTCTGTCTGTAGCTACTTATTAGGAACCATTGTATGGTTTTAAAATACCAAAAAAAAACTTCACGCTTCAGATTGTGAGTCAGTATTTTTTTATGTTTTGAGAAATTTCCTGATCATAATGATTTTGTGTGCTAGTAAAGGTGTTTATTATAACTTAAGGTGTTTATCATAACTTAAGTTCTGTACTGAAACCATTATTGAAAACAGTTGTGTTTAAACTTTTCCTTTTTATGTAGTTTGATTTACTTTAGCTGTTGACAGTTGTTTATGAAATAGTTTAAACTACTTTAGCTGTTGACATTTGACTATGAAATAGTTTGAACTACCTTAAAAGTTGGTATTTTGTTTTTGTAAAATAGTTTGAAACACCTTAATACGACTGTGAACTAGTTTTTAATATTTCTGTAATTCCTTAAACCTTACAGCCAAAGTGTTTGGACAGGACCTTACGACATCTTTTGATGCCACCAAGTTATCAGCCCCAAAAGTAGTTTTACTGTGTCTTCAGGAAATAGAAGAACAAGGAAAACGCAACAAAAGTGAGAGAGTTTGTTTTATTTAACATTTTCAATATTTAAAATAATTATACGTTATAAGTATTTATATAGGAATACAATATATATATATACTGTTAATTTATGCAAGGTTTACAGACTTTTAAATAATTAAATAAACATATCAAGATCAAAGCGGGTAGCTAACCCTTTTTGTATGTGTGCACTTGTTAGGCATATCCATTAAAAGGAAAGCAAAGAACTATCTAATAATTTTAAAAACAGATCACATTACCCTAAAAAATATGTGTAATCCAGTTGCATTCGTTCACACGGTAATATTAGAACAAATTCGGAAAGATTTTACCATTTGTATTTGAACACCACAATGACGAGTTAGTTTGCACATTTTTCTAATGGATTTTTCCTCTTATTCTCAAGCGCTGTAGAATTTTTTTTGTTAGTAGAAAAAAGATAAAATGTACAAAATTTCCATAACTGTCAGATATTGGAAGTTGGACTTCTGCGTGCCAGTATTCAGGGCAGCACATTATATGCTGAGCCAGAATTTGTCCGTTTTAGCTTACCGTGCAGTTGATTGAGAAAAATGGTCTTGTTGCAACCTTGAATTAGATTTACACTACTCCTAGATTGAAAACATGTTTAGAATTTATTCTGAAAATGCTTCTAAAATCCACCACTAGTGTATTTAACAAAGCTCCTTAATTTGAAGATGTAATTAAAGGAAGGAGTGAGTAACAATATAGGCTGAGTGTTTTTTAATTATGCCAGCTAAAATAATCGCATCATTATAGCGAGCATTTATAAAGAATATTTATTTTGTTGTGTGATGTATGCATGATAATCTAGACAGAAAATGTTTTTACAGTAAACATTAAATACTTGGCACTTTTATCTGGTTAATAATAAGTCAGGTGAACATATTTCCTTTTGTAGGGCTACACCTACATTGAAGAATTCGAGTTTTAGAGCATTTTTTATAAAGAAATTACGCATCGTTCAAAAGGTTTTAATAAGTAGATTCCAACTGTTGACAAATCATTGTTAAAACCAAAAGACTTGTGATGTTCTAGTGGATGGTGTACAATGTGATTCACGTGTCGGTCTTGCGATTGTTAGGTTACTAAAAAATATATCAGTTTTTAATTCTTATGTTGCATTATTTCAATATTTCATCCGTTGTTGTCTTTTCTTTTTTTTTTCCAATAGGTATAGATTTGTACAAAGTATTTATGTGTTCTTCTTCATCGGAAGCTGTAAATGAACTAAAAGATAAATTCGATAAAGGTATATCATTTTTTTATTATTATAGTTTGTTAATTTTTTTAGATTTTTACCATTAGATCCAAACTAAAACTAGTAGATAAGTAAACACCAACTTTCTGGTTGTTTTGAAATATATTTTCCTAAACCATTACTAACAAGTACTAAGGGTACAGGATACTATCCTTTTTTTCTCTCCCCACCCCCCTTATGACTTATGGTGTATTAAATCAAGGTTACAGCAATCTACTGCCAAACCTTAGGCTTAGTTCGTAACTTGTGTACAAACTGTATAATTTCAAGTTAAATCTGTTATGTACAATTTAATATTTTAATGTTTGTTTTTCTTCAGATGTCAATAATGTAGATCTTCAGAATTATGAACTCGGCTGTGTTGCTGGTGCCTTAAAGAAATACCTCCGTGAGTTGCCAAACCCTGTGATACCCGTAGAAAGCTACGAAACATTTTTGGAAGCTTCTAGTAAGTCTGCTTGACTTTTTTTTTCTTGCCAACAGCTCATTTCTAAATTGTATAACAAGATTTTTTCCCCCTGTAGTGGTTAGAAGAAGACTTTTCAAACTGTTAACATTGATTTTATCAGTCCCTAGAGATCATCACAGCTGTTCGGAATATACCAGTTCGCTGAGGCTCACTACAATTTCAAAAATATAACCATTATTTAATTAACATACAATGTCACTTACTCAAAAAATGTGTTATTCAAAAAGTAATCAGTAGGAGTGTCTTATAGTCGATAACTATACACTTGACCAGCTATATAATTGTAAAATAATTATTTTATTGTCTGGGTAAAATAAAACCTAACTAGCTGTCTTCAAGAGTCATTCTGTTGTAGTTTCAGTAATATTAATTAGAAAATTCTTTAAAAATGTGTTTTTATCAGGTTCTTATATTCATTCCATATTCTTTTAGTGGAGTTCTTAATTAGGGTTAATGAACAATATAAATGTATAATTACTTTTATTTGTTCAATAACCCTGATAACGACGCCTAAAGGGGTCAAAAGCTACCTCCATGAAAATAATAATAATTTGAATTGCATATATGAATGATGTGAAAACTGTTTTGTAAGAATTTTCATCCTAATTCTAGTTGTATCGCATAAGAACAGTAGAATGACAATATATTGCTTTAACAGTGTGATCAGTAAAGAAACTCCATCGGTCATGATGATATTTACGTTTACTGAAAGCTACAGAACATTTTCATCAGCCATTACTTTAGTATATGATTTGTGCACTTTCAAGGATATTAACTTTAGAGTTAATGATGGAGTTCATCTAGAACCTCGTTAAATATGTTTAACTAACCTGTTGGACCAGATGTAGCCTAGTGGCCAGGGATTTTCAGAGTCTGTAGTTTGCATGTAGTTGTTACCACAAAATTACGCTTGTCACTTTGGAGCCGTCAGTGCATTAAAAGAGTGACAGGGAAGTCTTACTGTTATATTAGAGAAGCCCAAGAGTTGGCAGTGGGTGGGGGTAGACTGTAGTCCATCTAATCAAAATTATGGATAGCCCAAATATCTAAGAACAAACAAACAAATATGAACTATTTATGCATCAAGTTGCTTGTGGATCCATTCTTTTAGTTATGTGGTCTCTAATAATCTATAACTCACATAAAAAAAATTCTATAAATATTTCAATCAATCCCATTAATTACTACATGGGTTTTCCGTGTCGCTTCTTCAATGTACAGCAAATGATTCAGCAAAAGAACTGTGTCACTTATTCCCTCTTCTGTTAGAAATAAGGAATGATGATCAATGTGCTGTCTGTCAGTCAGTCAGTCAGTACAATGGCTTACAGTACTTAATGTAAATATGTCGCTTGTTCGTTTCATCTGTTTTCTTTTCTCGTAGAAATAAGGAATGATGACCAGTGTTCTCGTCGCCTCAATCAGTTAGTACAACAGCTTCCTGTACACCACAGATTTACCCTTCAAACTATAATGTCATTCTTCTGCCGACTCTGTTGGTTACAGTACATTCGTGGAATAAGGGAATCACCTACTTTGCTGACGAAAATGATGTGTCACCTTTTTCTACGTCCACCATTGGAACATATTATGTAGGTGTTACACTTTTCGTGCTCAGTGTGATGAAATTAAAACTGTAAAATACTTTATTTGTCAAAGTGCAGAACTAATCTGTGAGAAAAAAAAAACTAACCATAACATTTTACTTTACTCTTTATTTAAAAGTTTGTCAGAAATTATTTTTCATAAAAGTTATTGCTTATTGGTTGGAATGAAAGTATTGTTAGTAGATAACAGCACACATCTTTAATGCCCACTCAGTAGTTTGAAAATGCTACAAGAAGGCTAGTATGATGTTAGGAAATGGTAGTTTTAAAATCATTTACTGGCTTTTTTTATTGCTAAGTTACTGATACACAACTTCTATGTAATGTACCTGTTAGGCATCAGAAGGAATTGATGTGGGTATTGATAATGGAGGTCTTTAGGTAAGTGGTAGAATGGTGGTTCCCTTATCCTCTTGTGAACATACGATTATGTTGAAACCAGTCTTTCCAAACAAAAGCCCATAAGGTTAAGGAACAACTTTTCCAGGAATATGCATATAAGATAGGGAAGTTAATCGTGTTAACACATCCGAGGGTTCTTAACGTTTTAGTAAACTGAAGGTTTCTTTAAGGAGGTTCTTCCTCGTGGAGCATACATCTAACTTCTACAAGGGTATTCTGCATCTTTTTAACATCCTACATGGATGTTTTGCACCTTTTTACTTCCTGTAAGTCCCCAGTGGTTCAAGAATAGTGTAGTTATTCATAATTGAAATAAATTTTGTTACAAACTGAAGGTTTCTTATACAAAGGATTAAGTATGTTAAAACGATTTTGAATATGAGAATCAGCAAACTATGTGAAAACCACAACCGGTATAGAGATGTAGTGGAATGACATGTATCAAAACTACATTTTGACATCGCTTAGAAAATTTATTACTTTGAGTAAAGGTATGTAACAAACAGCCTTTTCTGGCATAAGGTATTCATACACTTAGGTCATAAAAATGTGTTCAGATTGGGATTTAGAATTTCCAAGATGAGGATATCCCTTGTACTTAATACTATTGGAAAAGAAATAAATATAGATCAACTTGGGGCACATGGATCATCCAGACAGAGATGTTTAACAAGTTGTACCCCCCAAGCCATGATAAGCAAAGTGAGGCATTTTTTAACAGGTGAGAATCCACAAACACAAAGGTCAGTGTTAAAAGCCACCCATGTGACCCAGGCAAAAGTATGCAGCACAATCAAAGAGGGTCACCATCTGAAAACGAAGCCAACTTTCAGTCATACTTCTCATTCAACTGTTGCATACCTCAAGCAGCTGGAGATTGAAATGGCTATTTATGCTATTTGTTATGAAGACACCTTTCAAGTAGCCATATGCAATGTATTGATTTCTGTGTGATTGAATTGGGAACTGGGAAACCATTATCCTCACACACTAGATGGATTATGGAAAGTAGAAAGGAGGTATGGAATGAATAGTTTGGACATGAAAGTCTGACAGTGGATCCTTTTGCAGTTAAAACTATGCTGCAGGGATATTGTCAAGATATACACTTGTGGTCACAAGTAAATAGACACCTAATTTTTCGTCATTTAACTGATTTATGCTAACTAATTTGTGTTCACAGAGCACTATACAAATGAAAATGGTCCACACACTAATTATCTTGTGCTACAACATGCCTAGAACTCAAGGTTCTCTCGAATTTTCAGATTTTGTTAGAGGAAGGATAGTTGGTCAAGCAGATGGTGGAATAAATCAGCGGCAAATTTCGCAGAATTTGGGAATCCCACTTTCGACAGTCAACAGAATCATCATGCAGTTCAGGAAACACGGCAATGAACAACTGAGCAGCGTCCGGGGTCATCCTGGTCCATCGGAGTGGACAAAAAGGGCTGTCAAGAGGAACGTCGAAATGGATCCCAGATTAACGACTGCAGAAGTGGCCAAAGTTGGATGAACCCGAAATCTGTTCAACGGATTCTCCACAGAGCAGCTAGACGGAAGCCCTTATTAAGACCTGCCAACATAGTCAGATGAAAGAAGTGGGCAAGTGATATGATGAATTGGGTTATCGTTGCAGAGCAGCTAGACGGAAGCCCTTATTAAGACCTGCCTACATAGTCAGATGAAAGAAGTGGGCAAGTGATATGATGACCAAGCCTCTGGACTTTTGGAAGACCGTATTGTTCTCAGACGAATCAAGATTTGCTCAATTTTT